CCCAAACTTCTTCCATTTAAGGATTATGGAGGCCACTGTGCTCTTAGGAACCTTGAGTGCTGCAGAAATTATTTTGTAACCTTGGCCAGATCTGTGCCTTGCCACAATTCTGTCTCTGAGCTCCTTGGGCAGTTCCTTCGACCTCATGATTCTCATTTGCTCTGACATGCACTGTGAGCTGTAAGGTCTTATATAGACAGGTGTGTGCCTTTCCTAATCAAGTCCAATCAGTTTAATTAAACACAGCTGGACTCCAATGAAGGAGTAGAACCATCTCAAGGAGGATCAGAAGAAATGGACAGCATGTGAGTTAAATATGAGTGTCACAGCAAAGGGTCTGAATACTTATGACCATGTGATATTTCAGTTTCTCTTTTTTAATAAATTTGCAAAAATTTCTACATTTCTGTTTTTTTCTGTCAAGATGGGGTGCTGAGTGTACATTAATGAGAAATAAAATGAACTTTTTTGATTTTAGCAAATGGCTGCAATGAAACAAAGAGTGAAAAATTTAAAGGGGTCTGAATACTTTCCGTACCCACTGTATATTCTATAGATTAGTAATGGGAGAAAGCGTCCATTACAAATGCCTTCCTGGTGGTATTAAAAATGTTACATAGCATGCTAACTTTTATCAGCTGGAAAACCACAAACTTGAATCTATACTGCTGACATATCCATATGAATAAGAAATACAGGTATATTATATAATAATGTCACTATTTAATTGAAAATGCATAAAGCAGCAAAGTTGTCAAGTTGTAAAAGCATCCTAAAGGTAAACTGCGTGTTACTCCAATGGCACTAACCAGATCTGTTTGAGGGATTTAACAATTCAACTGAAAGAATTTTAACACCTTATCTCAAAGAATTTGGAGTTTAAATATGTCTATAAAACAAAAATTACATATATAATTAAGACAAACCCAATGACAAATTTATTCTTTTCACCATATCATTATCACAGCTGCTAATATACAATAGACTATGAACATACAGCTACAGTCATACTGTATCAGATTTAACAGTAGTTTTTAAGCTTCACATGAAAGGATTTGAAGGCACCCTTGTGAATGGCTCCACAGCTGTCCAATATTTGTCCAAAAAGTCAGCATGCAACATAAAGAAACAACATGGGCGTACATCATTTGAACGGTATTCCTGAGTTTATCTGTCAGGACTCCACTGTTACTCTCTATTAAGCAAGCTGCATTGGTTCCAAAGGAAACGGAAGTTTATAAATATTATATTATTATTATTAAATATATTATTCTGTTTGTCCCACTGACTCTTTAGAAATGTTTGCTCATCTCTGTGCATGTTGTGGTTTGCAGTGCAATTATCGGCCGCTCGCCAAAAGATTTCAAGGCCTGCTTGTTCAGCGTTATCAAATTCATGCCACTTGTAAGTGTGTTTTTTTTGTTAACTTTTAAAAAGAAATTGTCACACTTTGTATGCTCTGTCACAAGTGTGATCTTATTGCTCTCTACGCTTTCTATGATTCTGTAGTGCAGTGTCAGTCCGTACTCCTGCACATAGTTTGGGGCAGTTAAATCTTCTGAAGAGTGTACAGAGGAGACCTGATGTGAAAAACTGACATTTCTGTTTTCTACTGTGTAATTACTAATTCTGTGGTGATGGTTAATTATTTTCATTTAATCATTTAATGCACTTAAAGTACAATTTAGCATGGTTATTATTTTTGATCTGACATGAGCAGTCTATTACTGTATTGCAAATGTACTTTTGTACCCCTCAATGTTAAATGATAAGGCTGGCTATATTCTATATATTTTTTTTTTTTAATCGTCAAAAAAAAAGTGTGTTTGTGGTCATGCTGAACATGTCAGTGTAGCTCATTGATGTGTGTTTAATGGAGCTCTATGGCTGAGAGGAAGATGCACACTTATGTGACATCAGGGGAGTATCCAAGAATCGCACAAATGCAGTGAAGTTCACACATGACCAGCAGTTTGTAAATCAGGTTCAACAATTTCTATAGAAATATGTATCAGCATATGTATGCTGATACATATATGGATGCATCAGCATCCAAATATGTTTTTGATGGAAATTTCAATTATTTTGAAATCTATATTTATAGATTTCTATTGCATTTATTTAAAATGAGGAATATTTGTGTGAGCATCAGCAGTAAATTCATCAATATTTTTGTAGAGAATCATTTCTATACAAATCACAAAATACATTTGTGAATCCTTCTGTGTGCATTCATCTGACCACATATATTCACCGTTGGTTTGTTGACCATTAGAAAAACATAGATTATCTCCAGCCTAATTCTTTCAATTGAGTTTGCCTTGCTCTTGTAAAATCCGACTAAATATTTAGCTTTTGCATGTTTTCTTCATTCCCTGTCCTATGCTCAGGGTTTACAATCCTTACAGTATTCATGCTGTCACTTGCACAGCAGTACTGAAGCAAAGAGCTGTTAGTGAGAGATGGATGTTTAAGTGTGACTCGGTCATTTCAGATAGCCTTGGTGAACAACTTCCTGAAGTTTGGTCTGTACGAACTGAAGCTGAGGTTCCGTGAGAGGCTCACTAAGAACTTGTATGACCAGTATCTGCAGTAAGTACCACAGCAATATTACAGCTGCTTTCCCATCACATGCCATCTTCTGATAATCATTTCATCCTTTCTGTCATTTATCCAATGAAGCAATAGTAGGTGTACCTTGCACGGCAGCTGGATTCTCACACAAATCCATTTAGTTAAAAAAAATAGTAAATCAAAATAGTAATGCGTTTGTGTGAAACACAGTGGACCACTGTGTTTCACACAAACGCATTACTATGTTCGAAGCGGACCAATCAGCATCCTCTTAGGAGGAGTTACAGGCGTGCTTTATGTGTGTGTGACGACACAGAGAGTCTGTTAAGTGCTGTAGTAGCATCACTTGTATCCGACCTGGAAAGTATTTCTTCATTAAATAAGTGCAAAAACCCCCATGGAAGGCTTGTCAATGGAACAGATGTTGGACTTGGAGTTTGATTGACAGATGGTTCATCCCATGGCTGTTCAGATGGTCCTGTGTAACAAACCATCAGGCACATTAATAGTAGGTCTCCCCACATGACTGGTGTAAGTACTTCATGGGGACACCAGGGATGTATACAGTTGATTTATTTACACTTGTGAAGTCATCAGGGCCTGTTTCAAAAAGCATATTTATCTAACTCTGAGATGACTAACTCTGAAGAGAAGCTCAGGTTGTTTTAAGAAAACCTGTTGGGGATTAGTTAAGGTTCACAAAGTCAATTGCTATGGCAACTGAGCCAGAGTTTAAGCTGCCTCCCTCTCTGGATTTGAAAACCCTCATTTCAAGGTTAACTTAACTTCTTTCTGGAACAGGGCCCAGTGCACCTTCGTTGTGCTTTAGTTGCACATTATCACATGTTTACCACTGAAATTTGATGAGCCTAGTGGTGTCGGGTCATGTTTTATGTTGTTTTGAGTTTGTGTGCAATTGGACAAAGTATAAAATGGTGACTATTTAAACAAAGATGCAACAAATTATACAGATAATACAACATTTTGAGACATAACAAGTGTAGGTTATGATTTGAATTTGGTAAAGAGTTTTTGTTAGTTGGAGAACTTTGTATTTCCATTTCATATTTGCATGCATTTGTGTGCATGTATGAAAGTGTGTACAGGTATGTGCGAGGAAGAGTGGGGAGGAATAAAATACATGATGATAAATAAATTAGGCCGGGTTAAGTGAGGGCTAGCGGGGGTCCACCCTGTTGGTTGTATTACGTTTCTTGTCTTTAACCTTTGGGTCTCATTGCTTTGGAACGCCCCCAGACCTTCAGAATGGAGCTGGTCTGTTGCAGGGTTTCCCCTGTTTCTCAGGGGAGAAACAGGGGAAACTCTCTGGGAAGTAGCCAGTCAATTACAAGTGAATTGTTATTGTCTTTTCTTTCTAGTTTTTATGTCATTTGAGTGGCCCTCGCCCATGTCGTTTCATGCCAGGCCAAAACTTAACAACATATAATAGATGTAAATGAAATGCACAAAGAAAGGGAAGGTTGGTATAATGAATAACAGAAAAGACAGATTAAAGAGAAAACGTTTATGTATGTGTAGGGTTACGGTTTGGGTAAAGTCGCAGTAATGATATGTATTTATGTTGCAGGTCATGTTATAGAGGAAACTCAAAACTCGGCTATAAACCAAAAACGTCCTGTTTGATCATGGTTTCGTGGGTGGGAGAGCTCTGTATACAGACAGATTTCCATCAAAAGTTTATCGTTTATTCCGTCATAGTCCGTTTATTTTTACCGCTAATGCAAAAAAAAATAATGATTTTTACGGATAATGCAGAACCAAAGGTCAGAAGGTGAGTTTTGACAGAAAACTTTAAGCCATTAACAACATCTGTTGAGGTTGGCACATTAAACTCTCGGTGACTTTGCACCTTCGGCGCTCGTCATCCAGACACCAGTAAATAAAGTTCACTCAGTTTCTTTTTTCCTCACCATGTAAACATTTCAATCCAGAAGCCAAAGCCTGACTGTTTCACAGTCGACTGAAATGTAGCTGCACATTGCAACATAAGGACCTATTCTATGGAGGGGTCATTCTATAACAACTTTGATCTCCATGTTTTTGACGTACACTGTTAAGTCACAAGGAGACAGTGTGCTGTTGTGTGTGTGTGTCCTAGTTTTGTGAGTCTTCACCATGTGTTCTGGCTCTTCAGAGGTTTCACCTACTACAAAATGGGAAACCTGGACAACCGGATAGCCAATGCAGACCAGCTACTGACACAGGATGTGGAGAAATTCTGCAACAGTGTGGTAGACCTCTACTCTAACCTCAGCAAGGTACCACATTTGGTTGGCTTTCAAATGAATAATGTTCAAAAATCTTCTGACATATATTTAAATTATTGGAGTGGAGTGCTGTGTGAGTCTTTGTTATAGAATGATATGAACTTGAAGTGGCATCACCGCTCAAGCTCTCTGTGCCAGGCAGATTACCCTTTCTTTATGACGGACTACTCCATCACATATGATGTGTACACTGCAGGCCCAATGTACCCCAGGCATGCAAATGTTATTGCATTAAAAATGTTAGTGACCTTTATCCATCTCACCTTACTGCCTGCCAAGCAACCCCAAATCTTTAAGTTCCAGAAACCATAGACTCTAGCATCCGTGTCTCCTGCTGCCTGGGAAAAAGCAATGCTAGGTTAGCCAAGCAGTTTTTGCCGGTACAAGGTTACGTGCTAATATCGAAGAGCTCCAAGTGTCCTGCTTTATTGTCACATAATTGATATTATGAGCAATATATACCAGCTGAGTTTGACAAAGAGCATCATTTGTAAATCTGTCTGTCCTATGTGTGTCCTTCAGCCTCTGTTGGATATCGGTCTGTACATCTTTAAGCTGACAAGTGCCATCGGTGCTCAGGTAAGGTTATCTCCTGCATGATCTATTGAGTCTATGGGAATGATACCATGGTCCTAAGATGCTCTCAAGAAAATGGTGGAATTTGAAAGGTTTGATAGCCACATTGTAATAAGTTTGTAAATGAGCTCAAACAGGCTAAAGTAACATTTGTCATAAATAACAATAACATTTAATAATTTTATTCATTCTACAAAAACTGACTCCGAGTTTTATGAGATCAAATTATTCTTATTGTTATTCTTAATTTAGAGTATTGACACTCTAAATTGTTATGCTTCCATACTGACCCTTTAGGAGTGAACAACTCCAAAGGACGTGATTTTTTTTTTTTTTTTCTCCTTTCTTAATAGTTCATGGGCAAAGAATGTATATGGAATGGACACGGTATTCATCGAACCTCAATATTTTTTCAATACATTTTGACTTTGGAGATTTTGAAATAAAAAAAGAACCTGTGCAGCATTCAAATATTGATTTAGAATTGGAACGTTAACATGATTGAAGCTTTGAACCATACAGTACAGCCCTAATACAGTTATGAAATAAATTACCCTTTGGCTGAAAGTCCATGTTGGATGTCATCACTTGCACCCTCATTTCTTGGACATATCCAACCTATGGATGTTTGTCCAATAATTGCAGCGATTCTCTCGTCTTGGAATGACATATCCGATGGTCCTTGCCCTCATCCACCTGTTGTCTACCCTTTTTTCTGATCTCTTATTCTTTTTTGGCATAAACTTTACTCTCAAACCATTTCTTTTTATACCTGAGCCACAGTCTGTATCTCACACACAACAGTCACTGCCTCGGTAATATAACTATATACATTCAAAACAGATTTGATTTCAATTTGTCAAATTTCAGACATATTAGGATCTATCGATGCCTTAAAGTTGTTCATCAATGCTGTGATTCTCTCACACATGAACTACTGTCTTACCAGCTGGACACAGACAGGTGGGCCACATTCAAATCAGTAGACAAGTCAACTTCACATCATTGTAAAATCTTTCTTCTGTAAACACGATGACATTTTCAGATATTTTACTTGTGTTTGAATCTCTGTCATCGACTTGCCAGGAGCTGCAGATGAAAGTTAGCCTGTATGGCTTCATCTCGTATGCCCCAGAGACAACTAAAATAAATACAACAAATCAAAAAACAGCAGAACTAATGGTGTGAGCAAACGTTAATAATGATAATAAAAGTTTTACGAGCTGTTGCTACAGTCCGGATGTCTGGATTTTCAGAACAGGTATGCAGAGACTAGGAGACAGTAAAGGGATCAGCGGATTGCTAAAATATCGCTGAACTTCAATCAACTGTGCCGATCATACAAGAACTGTAAAAGCTATATGTAAAAAATAAGCTGCTAAACAGGAAGTGACTTTGTTGTGTCCACCACCCTCCCCCACCTAGGGCCCAGCCATCATGATGACCTACCTACTGGTCTCAGGACTCTTCCTGACCAGACTGAGAAGGCCCATAGGCAAGATGACGGTCACCGAGCAGCGGTACGAGGGAGAGTACCGCTTCGTCAACTCTCGCCTCATTACCAATAGGTAAACACAGCATCAACTGCTCAAAAGCTATTACTGCACAGCTGTTTACCGTAACACTGCATTGATGTTTTTCTTTCCCTATAGTGAGGAGATTGCTTTCTACAATGGGAACACCAGGGAAAAGCAGACCATTTATGCCACATTCAAGAAACTGGTGGGTAACAGTTTAGCAGTTAGAATATTCTCCCCAAAGGGACTGCATTAACCATTTATAGTATCACCTCGAACTGGTGTGGTCAAGAATGAGTTTATTGCACCTGTAACCACACCATGTTATGGTTTCCCAGAGTTTACCTGTACATCACTGCAGCAACTGAGAAGTTAAACCACTGGAAAACAAAGGATTTCCAGAGGGTGTGAGGTCACTCCTTTAATTTTACTGCAGCAGCAGCAGTGCTTTGTCATTTGGTATCAACCAGAGGCCTGTACTACACAGCAAGTTCAACATACCCAGGATGTCTTTTTGTTATCTGACCCCACAAACCATAACAACTGCAATCATGCTAAACTTTCACCCAACGATGGTTATAAACTGAGTAACTCGACCCAGCTATGAGCACATTCACATAAATGACTGTTTGCAGCATATTACCAATCACAAACATTTCTACTGTCAGCAAATGAAGAGCAAACCTTTAGACTACTACGAGGAAGTTGTAAACAAAGTCCTAATCCAAGCTAAAAGCATCTAGAGTACAATTGATCGGAGTATAAAGGTAAGGCAATGCCTTCTCCGACATGTCTCACTGGCAACAAAAGTTTCAAGAAGCTGACACAGTTAAGTGAAAATATGATAAGAGAGAGAACACCATGTAAGCATGGCTATCTACCCCGGTGAGAAGTACAGTACCGTTGTAACCCTAAATCCTGCTTCATACTACAGGCCTTAGGTCTATGACTAGCTGGTCAAGTCCTCTGCCTTTGAATCATTTCATCAACAACATTTCATGTTTTTATCAACTTGGATATACAGCTGAAAACATGATGTTGCCTCGTAGAATAAAACCTGTACAACAGTAGCTCTGGCTGCACAGGTTGCAAGAGGAAAGAGACAGCGGTGTGTTTACAGAGAAACATCACATAACTTGTTTCTGAAATGTATTTCTACACAGGTGCTAGTATCGCTGTGTTTTCTGAACTTCAGAACATATTTGTGTTTTGTCTTCCAGGTGGACCACTTGCATAACTTTATCTTCTTTCGCGTCTCTATGGGATTTGTGGACAGCATAATTGCCAAGTGTAAGTAGATATATCTTTAATTCACAATATTTAGGCCGTATCCCTGATATTTATTAATGTTCCTTGCTGTATCCGATGTGATTGGTAACAACAATGATAATAATTCATATTAAGTATTAGGACAAAATTATGAGCAAACAAAAACGAATATAATTACATTAAAAGAAATAAACATATTAGTTTAATGTATTTTCTGCAACTGGATTGGATTTTTCTGTGATATTTAAATGTGTGTTATGTATACCATGTATTTCCATTTATTGACTATGAATAAATCGCTTCACTTTAGTAAGGCTCCTGTGGTGTTAAATATAGAACATGTTAGAAATATAACATTTTATGTATTTTAAATATCATGAATGCAGAGGCGTTGAAATAATCTGGTCCATTTATCATGCTGAAAATGTAATCCTTAACTACAGGTAGTAAACACAAGACATGTCTCTGTTTCAGTGTTTTAAAAGGACATCATTACTGTCAACTAATTATTGTCATATTCAACATCCTTGTCTCAGGCCACATGACAGCAATTTGGTAGAATTTCTGTATAAGCAATAGAATGTATTTGGGAACCATATTTATACAATTAGGCCCACTCAAAAACATAATTGTGTGTCTTTATTCTCTGTTTCTTATATGTCCACATGCTGTTCATCTGCAGACTTGGCCACTGTAGTAGGTTACCTGGTGGTTAGCCGGCCATTCCTCAGCCCGTCACACCCTCGACACCTGCACAGCACACACTCTGAGCTGCTTGAGGTCAGAGAAATCACACACACACACACACACACACACACACAACACACGTGTGGTAAAACAAAACTTGAAAATAGAATCATTTAAAAGGGTCAAAAACTGGAATGCTTTCCAAAAAAAGATTATTCTAAGACATCAGTTTTGACTTTGAATGGAATTGATGGACGTCTGGCCTTGCATGTCAATGCTTGTCCAACAATACAGTGCACACAACTGCATAGACGCAGCAATGACGTCATTTTGACAATAATAAACACATCTTATTACAATAATGCCATCGTAAAATAAAGAAACAAAAGTGGCTCCCTGGTAGAAAAACCCATATAAAGCTTTGGAGATGCTTTGCAGTGATATGTTGGGGCTCTGAGGTTTAATGGGATGGGACCTGTTTTGCCTGTAGGACTACTACCAGAGTGGGAGGATGCTCCTGAGACTGTCCCAGGCCCTGGGCAGGATAGTACTGGCTGGCCGAGACATGACCCGTCTCTCAGGGTGAGTGTTCCACAATAGCACAGAAAAGATGAATATAAAATCATAAAAAGTTGAAACTGATCTATAAAAAGCTCATTGGTCCATCTATCTGAATGAAAACTGAGTAGCCATTTCGATAGGATGAGCTTTGCTCTGCTCTTTCTGCTGTCTGTCATACGGATCACTCTTTAGATTTCACTGTTAAAGCTTTGTTCATTCTTCATTTGTTTAGCCTCTTCATTCATTCAGTTCAAAGTAAAGAGTTTAGTTTTCAGTATGCAGCTTGCATTCTGAACTCTTGAGTTATGTTGTGTGTGAATTATCGTCTTGACCAGTTCAGTTTCAAATGAAATCTACTGAAGGCTATATCTCTCTGAAGCAGAGGGAGCTTTCTTTACTGCCTTAACTGGCAGAATATAGAAGTCTTTACTCTTGGTTCCTAGCGATCTGGACCCCACCTGGGATCCAGGTCATGTCGGGTCCAAATCATTTTCAGTCTGCAACAAAGGTCCCATGGCTAGAATCAATGAAATCTACCGACCTCCAGTGCCGAAGTTGCCAGTTGTGGTGTTCTGCAGTGAGAATGGGGCTTGTAACCAGTCCTGTTGCTCTCATACCATCGTCATGGTGTTGATTCTTAACAGTCTGGTAGCACAGTGGAAGTCAATTTCCAAGGACCGAGCTGGACTCTGTACTGCCCTACGCTGTACTGCCCACTTTCCTGGTAACGTCTCCATACTCGGCTGACAAACACTTCCACCGAGCTACCACCCGAACCCCTTCACCATCTTCTCTTTCTTTTGTCCGACACATTTTTCTATTCATTCCTGTCTCTTGCTGTGAAAGTGGACAAGATGGCTGTCAAGTTCCATCCATCCATTTTCCTCCGCTTATCCGGGGTCGGGTCGCGGTGGCAACAGGCCAAGCAGGCTGACCCAGACTTCCCTCTCACCGGCAACATGTTCCAGCTCATTCTGGGGGATCCCGAGGCGTTCCCAGGCCAGCTGGGAGATGTAATCCCTCCAGCGTGTTCTGGGTCTTCCCCGGGGTCTCTTCCCAGTTGGACGTGCCTGGAAAACCTCCAGTGGGAGGCGTCCAGGAGGCATCCTAATTAGATGCCCGAACCACCTCAGCTGACTCCTTTCGACGCGAAGGAGTAGCGGCTCGACTCCAAGCTCCCTCCTGATGACCGAGCTCCTTACCCTATCTCTAAGGCTGAGCCCGGCCACCCTACGGAGGAAGCTCATTTCGGCCGCTTGTAACCGTGACCTTGTCCTTTCGGTCACGACCCAGAGTTCGTGACCATAGGTGAGGGTAGGAACGTAGATCGAGTGGTAAATTGAGAGCTTTGCCTTCCGGCTCAGCTCCCTCTTCACCAAGACGGTCCGGTGCAGCGCCTGCTTTACTGCTGCAGCCGCACCGATCCGTCTGTCGATCTCCCGCTCCATCTTACCCTCACTCGTGAACAAGACCCCAAGATACTTGAACTCCTTCGCTTGAGGTAGGCACTCCGTCCCCACCTGGAGGGAGCAATCCACCGGTTTCCAGCAGAGCACCATGGCCTCAGATTTGGAGGTGCTAACTCTCATCCCCGCTGCTTCACACTCGGCTGCAAACCGCCCCAGTGAATGCTGGAGGTCACGATCCGAGGAGGCTAACAGGACCACATCATCTGCAAACAGCAGAGAGGCGATCCCGAGACCCCCGAACCTGACGTTCTCCACCCCCAGGCTGCGCCTAGATATCCTGTCCATCAAAGTCACGAACAGGACCGGAGACAAAGGGCAGCCCTGGCGGAGGCCAACACCCACCGGGAACGTGTCTGACTTATTGCCGAGAATGCGGACACAGCTCCTACTGCAGTCGTACAGAGACCGAATCGCCCGTTGTAATGGGTCCGGCACCCCATACTCCCGCAGCACCCCCCACAAGAACCCCCGAGGGACCCGGTCGAAAGCCTTCTCCAAGTCCACAAAGCACATGTAGACTGGTTGGGCAAACTCCCAGAACCCCTCCAGTAGTCTTGCGAGGGTAAAGAGCTGGTCCACTGTTCCACGGCCGGGACGGAATCCGCATTGCTCCTCTTGTATCCGAGGTTCGACAAACGGTCGGAGCCTCCTTTCCAGCACCCTGGCATAAGCCTTCCCCGGGAGGCTGAGTAGTGTGATACCCCGGTAATTCGAGCACACTCTCAGGTCCCCCTTTTTGAAAATGGGAACCACCGCCCCGGTCTGCCAGTCCATGGGCACTGATCCCGACCCCCATGCGACATTGAAGAGTCGTGTCAGCCAGGACAGCCCAACTATGTCCAGCGCTTTCAGCATCTCAGGGCGGATCTCATCCACCCCCGGCGCCTTGCCACCAAGGAGCTTTTTGACTACCTCAGCGGCCTCTGTCAGGGATATGGGTGAGCCTCCCCCTAGATCTTCAGGCGCTGCCTCCTCTGCAAAGGACATGTTGGTCGGGTTTAGGAGTTCCTCAAAGTGCTCTTTCCACCGCCCGACGATGTCCCCTGTCCGGGTCAGCAGTTCCCCCCCCCCTGCTGAGAACAGCCTGGGGTAAGCCCTGCTTTCCCTTCCTGAGCCGTCGGATGGTTTGCCAGAGCCTCCTTGAGGCCAACCGAAAGTCCTTCTCCATGGCCTCCCCGAACTTCTCCCATGCCCGAGTTTTAGCATTCGCATCCACTGCAGCTGCAGCCCTTCTGGCCTGCCGGTACCTGTCAGCTGCTTCAGGAGACCCCTGGGCCAACCAGGCATTGAAGGTCTCCTTCTTCAGCTTGACGGTTTCCCTCACCTCCGGTGTCCACCACCGGGTTCTCGGGTTGCCGCCACGACAGGCACCGATGCCCTTCCGGCCACAGCTCCTAACGGCCGCGTCCACAATAGAGGCTTTGAACATGGTCCATTCGGATTCCATGTCCCCAACCTCCCTTCGGGATGTGAGAGAAGTTCTTCCGGAGGTGGGAGTTAAAGACCTCCCGGACAGGGTCCTCCGCCAGACGTTCCCAGTTCACCCTCACTACACGTTTGGGCTTGCCGGGTCTTTCCAACCGGTTCCCCTGCCATCTGATCCAACTCACCACCAGGTGGTGATCAGTTGACATCTCTGCTCCTCTCTTCACCCGAGTGTCCAAGACATACGGCCGCAAATCAAATGATACGATTACAAAGTCGATCATTGATCTCCGGCCTAAGGTGTTCTGGTACCAGGTACACTTATGAGCCACCTTATGTTCGAACATGGTGTTCGTTATGGCCAAACCGTGGCAAACACAGAAGTCCAATAACGAGACACCATTCGGGTTCAGATCGGGCAAGCCGTTCCTCCCAATCACCCCCCGTCAGGTTTCTCCGTCATTGCCCACGTGAGCATTGAAGTCCCCCAGGAGAACTATGGAGTCGGTAGGTGGCGCCCTTTCCAGGACCCCTCCCGCCGACTCCAAGAAGGCCGGATACTCTGAACTGCTGTTTGGTGCGTAAGCACAAACCACAGTCAGAGCCTTGCGCCCCGCAACCCGTAGGCGCATGGAGGCGACCCTCTCATTCTCCGGGGAGAACTCCAACACAGCAGCGCTCAGCCGGGGGCTCGTGCTTATCATTAGGGTCGTTTGAACCGCTCTTAGTCTGGGCTCTCCCCCGAGACCTGTTTGCCTTGGGAGACCCTACCAGGGGCTAATGCCCCGGACAACATAGCTCCCAGGATCACTGAGCCACTCAAACTCCTCCACCATGTTAAGGTGGCGATTCGCGGAGGAGGCTGTCAAGTTGAAATGAGGATTTATCTGCATTTCACTACAAAAAAACTAAATAAGGTTGCAGCAGGCTGGAGGGAAATTGCCTGAAAGTATCCTCCTTGCTGTCAGCTCCATTATACATAACAATATTAAATGTGATTTCTGTAAAAAGAAATGTTAAAAGAGTGTTGAAAGGTAGCAGGTACTACTTACCAATCTTTGACATGGTTACTTCTTCAGTCTGATCTTGATTGAACAGCTGATAGGTGGTTTGTTTACATGACTTAATGGGACACTTGTTAGGACAGGGTGTCTAAGTTCTCTGCCATCATTAAAGTTGTTGAGTTATTCCTCGTCGGCTTGAATCGCCTCCACCCCTGGTGCCTTTTCACTCCATCTCATTGCACGTTTGAGCTTACCAGGTCTGTGCAGCCTCCCCGTCTACTCACCAGCAGGTTGACAGCTCTGCTCCACACGAGTGTCCACGACATACAGAGGCAGATCTGATGATGCATCCACTAAGTTGATTTAAACTTTGGCCGAGGGTGTTTTGTTGTTACAGAAGTCAACAACAAAGCCCCATTGGGATTCCCATCTGGCAGGGTTTCTCCCTTGTTGGCCATCTCAGCGTTGAGGTCCCCCAGCAGAGCTATAGAGCTATATCTAGTTGATACTGATCCTGCACCAGCTCAACTTTGGCGACATTAAAAACACAGAGAGCATTAAGGACGGAAGGATTTATTCCGTCTTCCTCGCTAATTACAAACACACAAATTATTTTTGTCTGCTTGTGTGAGGTAAATGCATTCACAAATGAAATTTAATGGGTTTTTCTAAGGCAAGCTGCAATAATAATGCAGCCATTTGTACATTTCCAAGTGAATTTCACGCTTCAGCTGTTCCATCAAAATATAAGCAGCTCTGTAAGGAGAGTGCAGCAGCTACAGCCTGTGCACATTAGCCTTAGAATGGAAATACTACAATCTAGGAAGGAAACAATGAAATATTACACTTTTTTCCAAATGAGACAGAGCTGGGATCTGTTCTGATGAATTCAAGTATTTGTGTATTTTTTGATCATGCCCATCTATATCCTCCACAGATTTACATGTCGTATCACTGAACTGATGAAAGTCTTAAAGGAGCTGAATGCTGGCAAATATGAACGCACCATGGTGTCCCAGCAGGAGAAGGGTACACAACCAAACATGTGACAGAAATGAGTTCTCATCTCAGATAACCGGAGCTATGCAGACAAACCATTGAACACATTTTTTGGTTTATTTCATACACTTTAGAATCCGACACTTCAGAGAAACTGGTACTGGTGCCTGGGAGTGGTCAGATTATCAACAGAGATAACCTCATCAAGTAGGTCTCTTACTCTGCTGTTGGCATATTTTTTTTTAGTTTTTTTTTCAAGAGCTCCGGTTTAAAGCAACATTTTATTTATTTATCTTGCAGATTTGACCATGCACCCCTAGCAACACCCAACGGAGACGTTTTGATCAGAGACCTCACATTTGAGGTAAAAGCTCATCCTTCATTGATCATCTCATCTAGACAGGCGAACTGTGATTGACTGGATGAACAAATGAATGAAGTTGTTGAAAATAAACCACATTTGATTTTGTTGTATTGTATTCCAACATCTCAGTGTTTGTGTATCCTCTGTAGGTGAGGTCTGGCACCAATGTTCTTGTGTGTGGACCCAACGGCTGTGGAAAGAGTTCTCTGTTCAGAGTGCTCGGAGAGGTGAGAAACCTTCTGCTTAACTGGGGCCTCTTGGGAAGCACACTTCATGGATTTGGTCTGTAAAATATTGTACATTATGTTCTGCATGTGTGGCATAAAAAAATCAATCATATATGTATTTTTGAAAGCTGTGGCCTCTGTTTGGAGGACAACTGACCAAACCTGAGAGAGGGAAGCTCTTCTATGTTCCACAGGTAAATGAGTGTTTCCTGTTTTCTTCCAGCTCGGACTTTTGGCAGCTACTTGGTACTTGGTGTACTGTTTTTATAAATGATATACACATAATGTCTATATTATATATTGATATTACAAATATAAACAAACACTATATAATTGAACTATAAAAAAATATGAAATATTTACTGAACTGCAGCCAATAACACATTTATGGTCTTTTATATTGGCTAATAATTACATTGACACCCATATGGCTGATAGAAAATGCATATATTCATAAACATATTGTTTACGTGGCAGTCTACAAAATATACAAAATGTATATCTCAACAATCAAACACTGGTGCAAAGATTAAAACAAGTGAAATGGTATACATGAAAATGTAGGAGTAGAACATCTCACTAACGTTTAAACATGCTCCGTTCAATGACTCGGACTAAATAAAAACAAACTACAATTTTTAATTTGTAATAATTTATTCCAAACTGTTGTTTGTCCAGAGACCTTACATGACTCTGGGTTCTCTGAGGGACCAAGTAATTTACCCCGACACCTATGAATACCAGCAAAGGAAAGGCATCTCTGACCATGTGAGACACGACACATTCCCACACACTCATTGTCTGTGTGTGTTTGTAATTACTTACATCATCTCGTCTGTGTGTCCAGGTATTGAAAGAGTATCTCGACAACGTCCAGCTGGGTCACATCCTGGACAGGGAGGGTAGCTGGGACTCGGTCCAGGACTGGATGGATGTCCTCAGTGGAGGAGAGAAGCAGAGGATGGCTGTAAGGACTCACTAGTTGTACAGGAAACATGACAGATTGATTTACATTACTAAAAACAGGAGACAGACCATGCATCCATTTTCTAAAGTGATTATCCTGCTTTGCCAGGTTGGTGTGGGCCTCTCCCTGCTCATACTCACACCTACCATGTATCATGTCAAAGTAGCTTGTTGTTAGTCATTTCTTTCAAAGAAGACCTGTCCCAGTGAAAGTAGGCAACTGTAGAACACTTGAAGAACACTGTGCACCATCATTTCATCTGATGGTCAAAAGTCTCAATACTTGTGGCTGGTGGTGCAAAGGATCATAAAAGTGACGTTTCGGATCGTATCACGGATCAGATCAGCACAGAAGCAAAAAAGGGAGCAAGTATAACTTTTAGAGATCCGGATCACGATTTTGCCGCTGATACAATGTCGGATACAGATCTTTGTTGTTGGACTATAGCAGCTGGTCTACAATGCTCCAGAATTTTTATTTTGTCACCGGTCCAAAAAATAATTTCAACCGCTCTGAAGTCGGTAAACCATCAAAAATTAAAAATGTTATAATTTTACTTTGTTAAAGTAATATTTTCTTCATAAAGACACACAATTCAAATGATAAGGAAATTAAAGATTGTATTTTCATGGAAGTTTTAATGATGTATTATAATCTGCTTAGAGCTACTGTAAACAGATCATAATTCATCTTTAATATCTATTTAAGTCCTTCAAACAACTGGATTTATTCAAGTTTCTCACTAACACTACATTTTACAGATTACATGTGAACACATCATGGTAACTTTGTAACTTGCCTTCGCCCAATACTTATTTTCACTGAACAGAGCCTGAACCTAGTTACTAGCTCTCATTATGTCAATTTAAACACAGATTTGTTTGTAATGTTATTAACATTATAATAGATCGGCGACTAGAAAAACGTGAATGATGTCATGATCGTATATTTATCTGAATATCGACCGATAACGATCGTCAGTAAAACTGTATTTTACACTGTGCTGGTTACTGTTAAACTGTGTATTATGAACCACGAGGAGGATCAGCAGTGGTCCGTTACACCACTACTTCTGGCCCATCATCGGGTTTAAGAAGAATCCTCTGGGCCCTTTCATCGGTCAGCACAGAGAAATACTGGGCTTGATGTGGAGGCTGTATACATGGCATTCTTTTACTTTCCATTTAGTAGTGTCTTTGTTGGTAGCTAGTGATAAGTGTCTGTGTCTCTTTATGTATGTAGATGGCCAGGCTGTTCTACCACAAGCCCCAGTTTGCCATTCTGGACGAGTGCACCAGTGCAGTGAGTGTAGATGTGGAGGACTTCATCTACAGCCACTGCAGGACGGTACGACCCAACAACACATCATGCACACAAATGCAGTACTTATGTGTTTGTATACATGTTTTTATTTCAGATAACTTCCCTATTACCTAATGTTGTTTTTACTTCCCGGTGCTCTGTTAGCCAATACACAAACCAAAGCTAAATGCCTCTGGCAGCTCCAGACAACAGGCGGATTTCTGTTAATATCCTGTTTGAAAACCCCTCCATAGGGATGGCTAGCACTATAACTCCACTACTCTTATCAGTACTCCTTATCTGATTGGTTCTTAAATGATAATCTTATCAGTTCTTTTGCATTACTAAAGAAATTATTTAGTAATTACTAAGTAAGTTTAAAAGGGCAGATAACATGAGAGCTTATACAGCGATTCTGCAGGCTTTAATAATGTAGCGCTGGTGCTAGTTTATCACAGGTTTCTTCCCCTTGACTTGACCTGGACAAACATCTATCATGCTTCATTTGGATACGAAAAACTCCGACAGTCATGATTGCAGTTTAACTTTGACTGTTGCTGCACCAAATACAAGTCATTTAGTTAATATAATATAAGCCCACACAGACTATCACTGCTCTTCTGATCGCAAAACTTTCACCTGCTCGCTCGCTCGCGAGTAGTTTTTCTTTTTGACAGTAAGTGGGCGGACTCAGTCACCATTGTATAACTACATTTAATTGGTTACAATCCTCGTCTTTGGATTGGCCGGATATCACTCGGATAGCCGTCTTACATAACTGATCATTTGTATAAATGAACTGACAGTTCATGATTTGTTCAAAAATGTTACAAAGGTAGTACATGATGTGAGGATATGACAGTTAATGATTTCCTAACAAATGCTGGAAGTGATAATTTGTACAAAAATATAACAGGTGTGATTTTTGAACAAAATACACAATCATTAATAATTATTGAGAGGAATAATTAACATTGACATGTGATCAGACAGTCTCTTCAAATATATTATTATTAAAAGGTGATCTGTGCAACTTTTTTATTCAGGAAGTTTGTATCAACCAAGTAGCCCTTCTTACTACCGAGTACCCTTGAAGTAGCTCTGTTTCAAAAAGGTTGGTGACCCCTGCTTTAGGGGATTTAAATTGTCAGAAATGGAATATGAAATGCAAAACTATATTTTCATTAGTGCATAATGACCTGAAACTAAGAATCAAAATGTTTTATTTAGCTTAAAAATAAAGTTTCTACGGCAGCCCAGAACGGACAAACACTAATGAACACTGGCTCTAGAGAGAGCCGTAACCTTAAGGTAGTGATGGCTAAGGAAACTCTGTATTAAACGGCCCGGTGTTAAATGATTAAAGATCGGACGTTGATAAGCACCGACATTACTCTCACTGTCGGGCTGAGCTCCTTCAACTACGTGCACACGCCCACACACACCCACACACACAGCGAGCAGAGAGACGGAGGTGAAGTGAACCAGGTGAAGTGACGATTACTCCAGTAGACGGCAGCTGCGATGACTGCGGTGACTTCCCAGTATTTATGACTTCATGTAGTGATTTAATATAACATAGCTGTTGTTACTAGAAACAATATTTAGTTCTATCTCAATTCTAAATAACTTCTAATCCTGTATTTTATTTGTTTTTAAAATACTTTATATGATTTAAAAGCAATCATTTAGTCATGAAAAAGATATATGATAGAGTATTGATCCTTGCACTAATATAATCCAAAATAAATTGGTCATGTAGTTGCTTGCCATCTGAAAGCTCCCCACTAGATGTCAGTGTTCCTTTAATAGTACATGTAGTCCCATTGCTGGTTTCTGTTCTAAACAGCATTCAGAACTCGCCCCTCTTCAGCGTCAGGAGAGAGAGCTACAGAGAGAACTCAGAGGAATTAAAGCAGCCAATAAACACGGTCAACAATGTAACAAACAAGACATTTATAATATCTTCCAAAAAGCTACATTGTTTACAGAGCAAAGAAACACCAAAACTATAAACACAAAACTTCTTAAAGGTTAATTATCCGTTAATAAGGGTCTGCTGTCGGTCAAAAACAAAAATCTAAATTGGTTTCTTTGTTCCACAGGTGGGCATCAGCCTGTTCACAGTGTCCCACAGAAAGTCTCTGTGGAAGCACCACGAGGTACGTTTTCACCTTTACATCACTGCAGTCTGACAAACGTTTCCTTCTCTCAGCAGATTTAGCTCTTTCACTATTTCCTCTCATACAGCATATTAATCAGACATTAATACTTGTTAGCTTACAACAGGGCTGCCCATTCAATGATATTATGGGCTATTATTATGACCAAGCTTTTCAGTGTATGGTATAATTGTGTATGTGACAAACCAAGTTTCTGTTATTTATGTAAGTAGGACGTCTGAAGAGATGCTTTAGCTCGTTTGTACTTGCTGCTGATGTCTCGTGTCTCTCTAACTGACTTTGTGTGTTTCATTCTGTCATGAAGTATTACCTCCACATGGACGGGAGAGGAAGCTACGAGTTCAAGCCCATCACAGAGGAGACGGTGGAGTTCGGCTCATAACTGGAATGTACTGCTCTGATGAAACCAGTCCACTAATTATTTGCACTCGAGATAGAAAATCATTTTTGATCATATGTTTCCTTTATGTTTTCTGTTATTTAAATCATCACTTTAGTCTAATTATCAATTTGTTCTGTGCAATTATTAAAAAAAATAACTATGTTCCTATATTGCCAACTTCTAAGTTGTGTTTTACACACGCAAGACCTGTTTCAGTGAAGGTGGAAATGTGCTCCATTGTTTTAATCATCTCTGCACATCACATCAGTAGCAGAGATTAGCTTGTAGCGATAGGCTGGATACCACAGTGGTCTTTGAGGAAACCTGTCCCTCAGTGAACTGTGTCCTGCACAGAATAATATGAACGTTTGTATTCACAACGTCATGCTCCTGGCTGTCTTGTTGGTTCTCATTAAAGATACACTCTCCACAGCAGTGGAGGCTGGGAATGATTTCAGGCCTTAAAATAACAAAGGAAACTGTTGATTATCTTGTTACATCAAGCTATTGTCATGTGGTTACAGCATAGTTATCTGAGGATAAAGAGTGGTTAAAAAAACGTGATATAGGCGTACTTCCTACTTCCTGTCATTTTCACTCTGTTCATTTCTGGCTGATTTTCTCGAGGACAAATGTTGATAAAAGACTCGTAGATATCCCATGGAGTAAGGACAACTGTTATCCTGACATAATCCTCACATGATGAAGGGCCGACCACATACAAGTCCGAGGTACAAGACAAATAGGTTTTCAGAGGCAACTCCAGACCCAGCTGGTTTGCAGGTTTTGTGCTTGCGCATTAAAGTGGCAGACTCTCGAGCATCCTGGTGGAACTCTTTTCTGTCTGACTGAGAGGGAACACGATCACATCACTCAGGCATTCAGAAGTGTTGAAAATATGAACTCACCAGTTGGAAGAGACCATGAGAAAAACCAATGTGCCACTTTGTGCTCATGTGCTGGAGTGAACCTGTATATTCCCACAGTTGCTGGTGACAGACTGGTGCTAGTCAGACCTCCGTCACTAGTGGCAGCACTCGGCTCCAGTGATTTTGCATTTTTAACATTCCACCTTTATCACATTTTTTAAATGACTAATTGTTGTGCGGTTGCCCTTGATGACTGATATGTCGTATGACGCCCGGAGAGGCCTGCATTGAAATGGTGACACTTTTGAAACAAAATTAATTAATTTTATTTGAATCTCTGCAACAGGGATTTGCGAGCAGAGGGCATTTTGCATAGAGTTTAACTTTGATACATTTTGTGATTTTTGCTCCGTTGACCAAGCTGTTGTGGAAGTGCTGACCTTTGTGGGACTGGAATTATGCCAGAGCATACAACAAGTAGGAAGCTGCCGCACTGAGCATGTTGCCTCATCCAGCTTTCTTTGACATTGCTCCATAATAGAGAGACAGCATGGGTCTGCAGTCAGTCCATTCAAAGTGCTCCCCGAAATCAACTGTGTGAGAACAGAGTTTATGTAGCAGTGCTGCTCTCTGGTCTGACTGAGCTTTAATGCGCAAAGTCGTAGGCAGACTAAAGATTATGATTTAATGAATGACCATGGCTAGAAAGCTCTAATGAAGAGGGAACATTTCTGAGTTTATTTTCAATTCTAACATTAATGGAATGATTCAGCGTTTTTGCTTTTTTCCTCACCATGTTCTCGTAGACAACAGCTGTAAGACTAATGGTTGGGATATACTAGCTGTTGCCAGGTTGACCTGTAATTCAAACACAAGACTGTCCTAAAGGAAACGGAACACAAGGGAATCTGATTGGCTGTTGAGTTCACGTGCTTGTTGTCCAACCATGAATGATATTCCCTGGTCACTCAGCTGGGTTCAAGTTCTTTTCAACTGATTTGTTGATTACACGCGAAATTACAGATCAAATGGCAAATATTTATAGTTATTAGTTATTTTCTTCTAATCTTGTTAATAAGCTTTTTTCATTCAGTTAAAATTCAATTTATATTTCTTGGGAGTTGGGATTCAAATGTATGTTAATGTTACTTCTGTTGATAACTGATTGTACACGAGCTCTGTGAAGCAGAGGACTGGCTCTAAAGTGTAATGATGACTTTTGTCAATTGATCACTGGTACATTAATATGCAGACTAGATCCTTCCCCAGCCCCTCTGCCATCACTCAACACCTCTGTTTTCTGACTGAGAAATGTAAAGAAGTGAAGAAGCAGCCTCAGCATGGTTTTGTATGGATAATAATGCTGTAATGATCTCACTCTGAATAAAACAAGCTGTTGGAGTAATGGAAAAAGATCTTTCTTCTTTTGGCGTGAGAGGTGAGTGAGTGTGAGACAACAAGCTGAAGAGATAAAGTGAGTCAATGATCGATGGAAGTGTTGTAATCCAGATAAGGCCTCTGTGTGTCAAAGGTGTGCTCTCCTGTAACGTCACACAAACAGCTAGGACTGTATATCAAACGGTAATAATTACTCTGTGAAATATCCGACCATTGAAGTGATTAAGTGTTAATGAAGGTGTGCTTTGTCAGAGCTCTAGTTTTTTCCCCATCTTCATGAAAAATGCTTAGACCAGTCTTTGTTTATTAAAACTGTCTAAATACCTGGTGGAGCAACTATTTCATGTTTGTCTGCACTGCTCTCATACGGCGGTTACAGCTGATAACGGCGTCCCAACCAACAGCATCGACATGGAAGCGTAGCACCCCCTTCAGGTAAACACTGTTGGCAGTGTCAGCAATTTTGCCGTTGTTTGCGCTGTTAGTCCTGTTAGCATCCTTTAGCGGTAAAATGCCGGCTAGCCGTCGACATGTTGAGAGCCGATGAGAGGCAAACGAATCACTGCATTAAATCACAGCCCTACATGTGATGTGATCAAATGTTCTGCTAATCAGGGAGTTGCACAAGATACCAACATAATATCTAGGTGTACAAACTAAGCCTCCCAGCTGTCACTGGGACAAAGTCCAATGAAACCCACATGACAAGTCGAGGCGAATGCAATCAGTGAGTAACTTAGCCAATATCCTGTTTTTCTCGTCTGACCTGATACAGGAAGTCATTTTTCAGCTGCAGAGAAGTTAGTTTCACTTTGAAACCGAGCTGAAACAAAGAAGAACTGGTGTGTCTGGGCTGAAGAGTCATGGGCAGTCTGAGGTGGGTCCTGTTGGTGCTCTGCTTCCAAAACTACTGGAATCTGCCCCAAACTCTGGAACAAGGTACTGTCCTGCCAACAGTGTGGTAACAGGGTTCACTTTTTGTGATCGGGCCCTGTGGAACCAAGATGTTTTCAATGTCAGTTTGTCAGGAAGTATGAGAGCAGTCCTACATAGGCATGTGTTGAAAACTTCACTTACTGCACTGAAAATGTAACCTGTGAGACAGGAAGTGACAGAAGACTGTTGTGATTATTTGCAGCTGCTCTGCGTTTCGTTGGGCTCGCTGACTGGGGAGGTGTTCCCTTCCCTCCATACTACACTCCACATGAGGAGGCTGTTGCTGCAGAGGTGGACAGGCTGGCCCAGACTGGAGGAATGGACTTCATCCTCAGCCTGGGAGATCACTTCTACTTCAGTGGTGTCAAGAATGTGGAAGACCCTCGCTTCAAGGTCAGCTTACAAAGCCAACATACACACATTGTGGGGAGTGAGATATGTTTGGTGATGAAGCATTTGAAGAAGATTGTTTAACAAAATGTACAGTTCTGAAGAATCCTCAAAGATTCATAACCATCTAGATGAAAACTATTGGCTTAAAAAAAAAGAGTTTTTGAACTCATTTGCTAGGTTGACACTCGTTTCCTATTCCAGGTAACCACCCAACACCATCATTGTTAAGGATGAGGAAACAGAGTTGCAACTTAAATATTCATTCTAACCAGGTCTGGTTGGCTGTGGTTGTATTGCTGCAGATCTTGGGTCTGCAGACCCTCAATCAGCTCTGATCACATGGTCGTTATAATATTCACTGGTCTGTTTCAGTCAACTTACTTTGGATCAGATCAGTTTTGAATGTCCTCCCTTTTAAATCAGTTTTGTGTCTTTCAAAATTAAGTCATGCAAGTCCAGTTTGGGGTAGGTCTCCAATCAGGTCTGGAATTGTAGACCCTTAAGACCTCTAGTTGCAACCCCAGCTATGCTTCAAGTTTGGCCTGGTAGCCCCAGTAAACTTTACTGTAGAATTAGGGATTTCTGGCAAAACAGCATCGTTCCAAGTTGCATGGAGAAGGGAAAATGTCTGAAGAGGTACAACTCCAGCAATAGCCAAGACATTTAATCTGAAAATGTGGGTCAACCTCACACAAATTGAAACAAAAACCAACACAGTGGATTTTCTGAATGAGAGAAAAAAATTCCTCTGGAATTGTATGAAGTGAAAGTTTCGAAAATCGCTTGAATATGATCCTATCAAAACACCTTTTAGTCACATTTCAGTGACTGTTGTGCATGTTGGATTTGACCAGTGGCGCGCCTTGCATTTTATACCTGGGCCTTCACTGCTGTCCTGCAGCTGAGCCACGTCCTAATAACCTCATTATGACGACACAGATACGATTATTTGTTTCTAGGGGTGTAACGCACGTAATACACGTATTCGAATTAAGAGGTTTTACACCCAGTGAACTCCACTGGCTAGAAGCTGGTGAGGGACTATTTCCTTCCCACTTACAATACAGTTGTGTCAGAGTGATTTTTTTTCTAAATTGAAAGAAATTTGTTTTCAAATAGAGGATTTAAGAGGTTAAACTACTGTAAAAGGATTTATGGTTTGTGATTGACATTAGATATGTTTCTGTTATTTTAATTATTTATTGTTTAAAAACTCATCACAGAAATCTGTTAAGGAGCAACACAAGTAACAATGTGTCCAATTCATTCCATGCTGGGAATGCAGCATGATTCTTAACCTTTTGAGCAAGTTAAATCACATATTTTAAACGTGGTAAGCAACTGTGAAAAAGCACAGTCTCCTGTGCATCACATTCACAGTGAAGTCTTTATGGTTTCCCATCCACAGCACACATTTGAAAGGGTCTTCTCCCAGCCCTCCCTGCTGGATATCCCATGGTACCTGATTGCTGGAAACCACGACCACAAGGGCAATATCTCAGCTCAGATGGCCTACTCTGACATGTCCCACCGCTGGTAATTATCAAACAATACTAACATGGTTATAACAGTTTCAGACAGAAATACAAATAATCAACGCTCCTACACTCATTGCAATCAGGAGAGACAAGTCAGATGAAGAAAAGATAATAGTTTATTATAAACAGATGATATGTGATGATAAAGTCTTGCCAGAGTCGTTGGTGTTTTGACTCTACAGGAAGATTTGTAATGGAGGGGCGTCTGCCCTAAGTGTAAGTCTAATCAGTTTCATATCAGTCATTGATTATTAATCTATATTAAGATAATTTGCTTAAAATCTGATCATTTCCGCCCATCCCACTCATGTGACAATAAATCAAATATTTGATTGTGTGATCTTTCTACATCTCCTGTGGCAAACTAGGGGAGACAGCCAAGCAACTCCAGCACAGGGGCGAATCCCCAAGCTCAGGTAGGGGAAGGTGATAGCGGGGGTGTTTTATCCAGGTCAGGTGTTGCAGCCACTGGGCACGTGGTAAAACCAAACGGATCTCAACACAGAGTTGATCACTAGGCTCCCCTCTCTCTTCGCTCTACTCCACAGGATAGTGGAACAGAACAAAAATATTTGACCTCCCCCCCTTTCTCCTAAATTATTTATTAAAATACTTTTATTGTTTCTTGTCAAAAGTCCCCTGGGTTGCCACACTCCCTGCTGCCTTATTTGTATCAGTATATCATTAAGTCTGTGTTGTGTCTGTAGGAATTACCCAGGTCTCTATTATGATCTCCAGTTTACTGTCCCGCACACAAATGTGTCAGTGAGCATCCTGATGATTGACACAGTGGTGTTATGTGGAAACACCGACGACCAAACCCAGCCTTCAGGACCAGAGAACCCCAGAGATGCAGATCAACACTGGACCTGGATCAGGTCTAAACTGGCCAGCAGCAGGTGAGCTGCTCTGAACAATAGGCACAGACAAGTGAGACAGTATATGGAGACAACATGTTTATGCTGGACTCCAGAATACTGGGCTTTAAGTGACACCAATTAAATGTAAATATGATTTTAAATTATAAAAATCAATATTGTTTTGAATCCTATTAACCCTTTCTATCCGTGTATCACTTGGTATGGCCACTATATTGATTACCATCTCCCTACCAACCACCATCTACCACATACCATCAATTTTTGATGCTAGTGAGACTGAACTTTTAGATTATTTATAAATATCTGAACCCCATTAATCGCAATATTAGGCTCTCTATTGAGTACTCGGAGCACAGCATTATTTTGGGGATTTAGATATTTTTAAGGGGGCTGAGGAAGCTGTAACATACCATTATCTTTAGGAGCAGAACCTCACACAACCCTCTCCTTAGAGCAGAATCCTTCCACCCCCAGCACCTCAATGCAAACATCACATTTGGCCAATTCCAACACCTACGACGTATGTATGACCAAGAGACTGATTTTGTTAGACAGGCTGGGGTCATGTCCAATGTATTCTCAGACAGAGAAACCAGGGTGATTAAGCAGGCTTTTGACGGAGCGCAGTCACTTAAACGTAACACTCTGCTTAAAAGTAGTTTTTGTCCTGAAAAAGCTGTGACCACACCCGTTTTGTTTAAGTGCCCTGACAAAGAGCTACAGTGGTTGAAACATGTTGGCTGATTTAGCTTCGATAAAAAAAGTTTTATAGTTTATCCCTCCTCATTCGATTTTTTTCCCTGTTTTCCAAGAGCACCAGACACATTTTTGATCCACAGTTGAACACACAGAGCAACAAGTTTTCTCTCTCTACAATGACAAATTATTATAACTTCAACAGAAATGTCTGACAAATGAATGCAAACCTAGCATTCAGTGTGTGTGTTGTTCCACCACCAGCCTCCAGAACAACCTTGGCGCTCCTTGTCCCAGATTCTCTAGTTGTGTGGAACTCTACTGGGTTAATGAACGCATTCCTCAAAAAGATGTTCCCTCATTTGGTTTTGATCATTTTTGTGGCGATGCCTACTAATTGACATGTCTGGCAGTTCAGTAAGTACAAAGTACAAGTCTATGTATATCTGAATACATGGATGAGGGGTCGAGGTACCTCTTATGTAAGGCAGCTAGTAAACCTGAGATGGAACAAAAACATTTCATCCAGGAGGTGGCGGTGTTCACTAAGTGTTCACCAGTCTATCTAGATAAACACTGCAGAAGACAGTGATCGATGGGCTGAAAGCAAAACACACAATGGAGTTTTCTACAAACCAAAACATATGTCATCACGATAACTTTGATCGTATAAAATCTTCCCAAAGTGGCTCTAAATGAAGTTAAAATCTAAGATCTTAAAATCTAAGATTATCAGTAAATTGTTCTTTGAACAACTTTGTTTTATCATTTATTTTCACAGATCACTTGAGTATCTATAAAAAAGAGAACATACAGTTTGAAGCAATAAGTTTGTTCTGGTTTAAGCTCTGAACACGTTCTTTGGCTCCTCCCAGGTCAGAATATGTTGTGGTGGCTGGTCATTATCCTGTGTGGTCCATTGGCAATCATGGACCAACATCCTGTCTAGTAAACAGACTGAGGCCCTTACTGAAGAAATACAGAGTCACTGTGTACCTGTGTGGCCATGATCACAATTTGCAGGTATGTACTGCACGCTAAGTCACAACAAGAATATTGTGTGTACGTGTGTGTGTGTCTGCTCAGCAATGATTTGATCCAATTGTCTGTCAATTATTGACATTATCAGATGTCACTAACCACAAGTGCAAAGACCAGCCAAGTTGTCAAAGGAAAATGTATGGTATATGTTTGTATTTTTAAGAACAGGTAGTGCCAGTGGCGTTGTATGATGCTTTGTTTCAACCCTTTATGAATATGTTGTCGTAAAAGTGCACCCCCTATTGTATTCATGATGTGACCCGTGTGTGTGTGTGTGTGTGTGTGTGTGTGTGTGTGTGTGTGTGTGTGTGTGTGTGTGTGTGTGTGTGTGTGTGTGTGTGTGTGTGTGTGTGTGTGTGTGTGTATATATATACAGTGGTGGGAAGTAGCAAAGCACAGTCAGCCAAGTATTGTACTTCAGAGCAATGTGGAGTGTACTTGTACTTGTTTACTGAATAACTACAGATTGGGGGAAATATTGTACTTTCTGCTGCATCAGTCTGACAGTTGTAGTTACTGGTTTTTATGCAGATCTAGTTTTTGCATACAAAGCGTATATGTATGATCAAGTTATAATATGATGATGCTTTGCTATAGACCAGAAACCTAACACTAATTTAAATAGTTTAAATGAGCCCCTCTTCAATCAGCTAACAGTAAAATGCTGCTAACACATTGATGCATACATTTTAATAATCCAAAAATATAAAAATACTTTTTAAGTACATAAACCAGGGCTGCCCCCTCTTAGTCAGAAATGTTGAATAATCGTTCGTTTTGGTCTTAGTCGGCTAATATCTCTTAATAGTTCACTCGATCTGTGGTCAGTCAATCTGAAATCAAGTGATTACAAATCAAGTGCAGACAAGTACATGAACACACAAACAGCTAACAAAATTAACACCTTGAGGCCCACAGACTTCTGTGCAGATGGAACAATCTTAATTTTAAAAAACAGGAGGTTATTAGGACCAATAAAAACTATGAAACGCTACTATTGCAATTTCTCCTGGGTTGGGCCCCTTTTTGAGTTAGATTGACTGGACTATTAAACAATTAGTAATTTAAAAAAGACATATTTGTCTTGATTCATAAGAAAGTTATGAGCCCATCTCTGGCAAACACAAGATGTCAAGTGATGATTTTGTGTGAGTCTTTGTCGAGAATCTGTTGATTTAATCAACTAATTGATTATTAGTCGACAAAAGTGAGTGTAAGTTGACTATGAATATCTCTGGTCGAGGACAACCCTTACTGACTTGATATTTTGCTGATATGTCTGTCGTTTTGAACAGGTTGACATTGTCGCAAAGTATCTGATTACTTCTTCCATCGTGTTATGGTTTGGTTTTTTCCTCAACATGCAAGTACAACGTAGATGATTTTGACACTGTCTATCTCTCTTCCAACAGTTTATCAGAGAGGATGATGGGAGCTCGTATGTAGTTAGTGGGAGTGGAGCTGTCAGTGACCCTGCCACCACTCACAGGGAAAGTGTTCCTCTTCCCTGGCAGCTCTACTCCAGTCCTGTCAACCACACAGCAGGAGGCCTGGCTTACTTCCAGGTCACTGAGCATCAGATGACGATCAGTTTCATGCAGACTGATGGGAAATGTGTTTACCAGGCAGAGCTGCCAGCACGCACAGTCTGATGCCTTTCACAAGTCTTTGCACAAGTCTCGTATGTTTCACATATTGTCCTCTTATAACCTTTTATATTTAAGATATGACTTCTGCTACTTATATTTAATGTTTTCTATTTGCTGTGGCTGTGCATGTATGTATGAACAACGATATGATCAAAGATCTTTAATGGATGCTTGTGGTTAGACGACATTTAACATCTTGGAAAGCTTTGTTATTTTCCTCACAGAACGGCATCGAAAAAAGCATTGATTTAAGTTTTGATTTATTACCCAAAATGATTAATTGCATCAGCACTAGTGTTGAAATATTCTTTACAATACCAAACCCAAAGAGTATGGGCTAAATAGTTGCACACATTGTGAATATTTTGACCATGTCACATGAGCTGCATCTATACTGTATTCACATGACTCACTGTGTGATATAGAAATGGTGTGGGGAATGCTGGTTACACAGATGAGAGTACAGGGCTTCATTCATGGATTAAGAGACAACGGGCCCCTGAGCACAAACATGTAAAAGGCCCCACCACCATAGGGTACATAGGGACAGGATCCCCAGACTAAAAGAGATGCAAAACGACAGGTGAACCAAAACTCAGGTGCTGTGTTGGTTCATAAACCTGCTCCTGAACTTTAGTATTTAGTTCACATTGGAGATGGAGGACCTTATTCAAAACATTCTGCCACAGCTGATCCACGCTGAACAAATATTACACAAAATACTACACACTATATATCGAAAAATAATTTAGGAAACCTCAGATGCAAGTTCTCTCTTATTGAAGCAGAGCACATTTTGTATAAAGCAGGTGGATAGACATGTACTTACTGTTTCTCTTTACACATTACTCTCACAGTACACTCTTTACAGTTACATTGCACTTTATTACTCTTTGCAGGTTATTTAGATATTCAGAAAGCCTGTGTTGTATTGTGGTGAATTCCATAATGCTCTCATGAAGCACCACTAAATGCATATCTTATTATTTCAGCCGATTCAAAAAATATTTCAAAGATTCAAAGACTAAATGGCACTAAATAGTATAGTATGGTATGGTAGTATGGGTATTGGAACTCAGAGATGATGTCACCCATGTAGGTTTTTATTAGGCTCTCGCCTCGTCTCTCTGCCAGTTTGGGAATGTGATTGGCCTGAAGCTACATGACCATATGCCCATCTATGTGCCCCATTGGCTGATATGTGTGTGGATGTATAATTGGTGGTCTGTTATATTATATACAGATGTTCTGATCCATACATTTTCTATTAAAATGTTATTTGGAATGTGTTTTATGATGACCTGGAGGAAGACCACAAGCCGAAAACTTTGGTCCCACAATAATGTTGTCCTGTATACCAGCGGTCCCCAACCACCGGGCCGCGGACCGGTACCGGTCCGTGGGTCATTTGGTACCGGGCCGCACAGAAAGAACAAATAACTTATATTATTTCTTATTATTTATATTATATTTTTATTGATTATCAGAGTCCGAAAGATGTTTTATTTTGAAAAATGACCGGATTCTCTCCCAATTTCATCCGCCTGTGCCTCTTGACACATGTCAACGCTTGTCTCGGTCACGTGATACGTTACCTCAAAAATTAAGCCCGCAAACTAGCGAAAATGAGGAGAAAACTTTTGGAGAGCTTCTTTGCAAAGGAGGAAAGGCCCACTAAGGAAACGGAAGAAGAGCCTACAACTTCCAAGAAAATGAAAGCTTCATCTAACAGACAATATCAGGAGTCTGATTAAATATCAGATTAATTCTCACGCACCAAACCCGCTCTCCAGAATATGTGGCGACAGAGGAAGATCAGCTGCTGGAGATTAAAAGTACTGTATGTTTGAGACAACGAATCTGCTGGTGTTTTGATTAAAATCAAGGCTGAATATCCTGAGATCGCCACTAAAGCACTGAAAACCCTTCTTCCATTTCCAACATCATGTCTTTGTGAAGCGGGATGTTCTGCAGTGACAGCAATCAAAATACAATCTGATCCTTTAATTTATTGTTGTATTCCCGCTATACTGCCACACTGCCAGTGAGTGGTATATTTTCGGTTATATTGTTGATGAAACAAAATTCTATATTACTAGTAATGACATGTCCCTTGATTGCTTTTCTAGGATCTATTTTCTGTGCCAACTAGTGGTGCCCCTCTTGCTGTGAGGTGACAGTGCTAGCCACTACACCACCGTGC